GCAGAAGACGATGGACAGAAGATAAAATTAAGCAGAATGGTTATAGCATGAAAAAAATCATAACAGCGACACCAAAATGAACTACACCCTGACAACATGTTCTTAACGCTAGACCTTACAGAAGATTTCCTTACTCAGAATTCAGCCAGGTGGAAGCTGCTCCCTGGTACTTTCGATCTGTGTAAGCTGCTCCAGGGACTGGCCATTACTTCGTTGGAGCATGGGAGATGCACAGTCCTTTGGGTTAACCGTCCCCAAATCTTTGGAAATAAAAAATATCAGCAAAGAGTCCTCGAACTTTTTAGTACTAAGCCACCAGAGCTCCAACACTGAAGAATGTCTTTCTTAAGAAGCTCCCAAGAAGTCAAAAAGAAAACCCCCAGTTCACAGCTGTTGCTTGTACCTAGACAACGAAGGCTTGCAAAGACAACCTTCTCCTATCGGCATGGTATATTCGCATGTCTCCTTGTTGTGTATAGTGATTGCACCTGTACGGTGCATTTTCTAAGATACATCAGCTTCTTGATATTGAATTGTTCATAGTTGTTCATCAAAGTCACTGCCAAGTTTCTTTGTACTCCTGTGTGTCAGTGGCTTTGGTTCTGGTCTTACATCTGGATCTTCTAGGGAGCAGACAGCACTACAAGCCAGTGAAAAGAGGCTCCCTGCAGACAGGACGCAGGCAGCATGGTGGGTGTTATGAAGCTGGCCTGGTGAGACAGCTACAGGGCCAGGGTTGAGTGAGAATCATCCCTGCAGAGAAGGCGGCGGAAAGTAGAAACCAGGGAGCTAGATAGAGTCTGGCATAAAATTTAAATATGGACAACTTAGGGGGATGTCTACCACTCCCCATGAATTATCAACAGAAGCAAAGTTACCCTTGATTACATTTTGATTGATTTTAACAGTTTTCCATTGATCTAAACTTCTTAGTGGGAATTGACAGAAATCCTTTTGAGACTTAAAGAGAATGAAAGGGGTGTTGGTGGGAGGGATGGGGAAACAACGGTCCGAAAGCCAGATGAACAACCTTGTTTCTAGGGATCTTCAGAAAAGTCTTGCCACCCCCTCTCTAGAAAACTCTGGGCTGGTTGTTGATGGGCTCTAAGGTGAGGGGTCCCATGGAAAGGTACAGTTGGGTAGGCAGTCCGCAGCAGCAGACAGTCTCTGAGTCTGTCTTCTTTGGCTTGGATCTCTCACTCCACAGGAAGTACATTAGGCAGGGTTCTCTAGTGGCACAGGATATGAATAGTAAATTGCTACTATAAACAGTTAGATTGGCTCACTCAATAAATGTTGAGTAGCCCAACAATGTCTGTCTGCTTGCTGCAGAGATAAAGAACCCAGGAGCTGTTCAGTCCATGAAGCTTGGCCTTCAAACCAGTCCCAAACCAGAAAGTATGGAAGCTTCATGAAGAGCCACTGTTAGAGATTCCACGTTAGAGGCCAATGTCTGAAGTCAGCAGAGGGTCGCATGGCTGTGTTAGACACGCTTAGCCGGAAAGAGGGAAGGAAGGCAGATCCTCCCAACTGCTCCTTCCTTGGACCTCTCTATATCTGGACTCATGCTTGATAAGGGCCCCCACATTAAGAACATATCTTCTACTTCATTCAATCCTCTCTAGAAAACTTCTCGTAGATGCGCCCAGAGGAACATCTCAATCGCCCAGGTGATTTCATCCAGTCAAGTAGAGATGGAAAAAGACCGATGTGGAACCTAATTATTCTTAAAATTCAGTGATAAACAATAATATAATACACAGGGCTATTAATCCACAAGCTGGCACTCAGGACATCTGCCCAGTACTTTGCATTTTTAACAAGTTTTAAGAGACTGAGGTACCAAGCTTTAATGCATTAGACCAGGTCAGGGTCTAGCAGAGGCATCCCTGATTTCAGCCGTTTTCATTGTGTTCTATCGGAAGGAGCATAAGGTGGTATGGAAATGAGCTGTCTTCTATTTCCATACATTTCTCAAGAGTGTGAGAGCCAGCTGATGTCTTCTTAAGTAATTATTAGAACAGTTAGGGATGTAAAAATAGACATCCATTTACTTTGTTTGCCCCTGGTGTATTCACATTAGAAATTGGCAATATTTAAGTTGGATTTAATTTTAGAGCTCCAGCCTTCCCTAGAATGAGACTATAGCAATAACACCTGTGAAAAATCAGTCTGCGTTCTTGGCAGGAAGTTCTCTTTCCAGCAGCAAACTGCTATGCTGTACCAGCACTGTATGAGAAAAAACCAAGGGCATGGAAGATGCTGGAAGGATCCAGCTGTTAGGACCAGTGTGGAATGGGCAGGAAACTGGTGTGCACCAAGGTTACCTGGGCAAGTGACTGTGGATATACGGCTGGAAACTTAACTGTGGTTGTGTGCACTCCATTCTGCAAGATGGCAAGGGTGAGAAGCTGTGGAATATGTAATTTAGATGGGCAGTCATTTAAATTTCCTTCCAAGCACTTAGATTAGAAGACGTCCATAGACAAATATCTAGAATAATTACAGGGAGTTACTTTTCCTTCCCTGGTTGTTCCGTGGCTTCAATGTAAAAGTTTGTTGTGTGTTGTGGGAGGAAGTGGGCAGGCACAGCAATGGGATGACATCCAGGCATGGCGCACACTCTTGTCACTCTCCCCAACACTCTAACCCTTGCTAGACCTCCAGCTAGCTCTTGAGCTCAAAGACTGTGTGTGGCTTTTCTCTCCATTCTTCTGCATCCTGCTCAGATGCTCTATTCTCTTTAAGAGTCCTACTCCTGTATGAGTGTGTGACCCAGGCTAGCCTGAATAGACAAAGGAGGTTCCTAGGTGACTGTGCTTCCCCATCGCGAGTAATATACACCCTGAACGTCACACTGATTTAAATACTTACTTAGCTTGTGCTAACCCTTCCTCCCCTCTAGCTGATTTGCTATAGGAAATATTGTGTCTTCTTTCTCTTCATAACCTAACACCTAGCACAGCGTCTGCCAGAGGGTCTGAAATGTCAGTGTTGAATTGATGAAATTAAAGAACTTCAGTGTAAGGGGAGAAAAAAAGCATTGTTTACTCATACCGTCTTAGAATTCCAGAGGACTGAAGTCGGAAAGATCTGAGTTATCATCTGTTATAGGAACTTTTCATTTTGGTGAAAAACAAAGACAGTCAGAGTGATGTCCTGCCCAAGAATTGGCTGGAATTGGGTCAGGACACGGGTCTGTGGCTTCCAACCTTGCAACCTGTACAGTTGAGCCAAGCCCCCAGCAAAAGGGCTTGTGGAATAGATGAGCTCCCCTGCTTGGGTGAGGAGGCCCCTAAGATGCACCTCCTAACCCCAGAGCACATGTCAATCTCCCTACCCCCAGACTAAGCTCAACCCTGGAGTGCATGGAGATGTCACTTGTCCTAGAATCTCACGTTTGAAGAGCGTTAGAGTCAGGTTTTCTCCATGCCTGAATTCTCAGTTGTGTATCAGAAGGTTTCTCTGTTAGTTTCTGAAAGGCAAAAGGGGTGTGTTGAGCAGAGTGGGGAAGCAAGAGGAATGGAAACATCCCAGAAAGATGCTTTCCAGCAACACAGAAGCCACTCCAGGGCCCCTCCCACCTCAGCTGCTCTCCAGCCCCCTCTTCCCTATCAGGTGTATGGCTTTGAGGAGGCTTCCATGACATCTGTCGCCACTGTAAAAAGGGAGAGGTGTGGTGGGAGTCACGGTGGAGCAAGGCATGGCAAAAGAAAGGTCTGTGGGACTTGAAAAAGCACAGACAATAGGGCAAGCGTGCAACTCCTGAGCTTTCTTTACAAACTGTCTTTGTAGACTTAGTCATTTATCTGTTCAGCCTTCAAAATCACCATGGCACCGTCCTGCTTAAAGCCCCATTCCCTTCCTGTCGGCCCCAGGGATGCCACTGTAGCTCTTGGCTTCATCTCTAATGGCTCAGGTTGTTGGAGCTCTCCAGCTCGCCTCCCAGATCTGTTCCTTCAGGCTCGGTTTTCGACTAATCCCCAAGGCTTTGGCATCTGCTGTCACTTCCACCTGGAATGTTCTGCCCTCCATTCCTTGTCATAAGCTTGAGGGCGGCTTCCTCAAGGAACTCTTCACGAGCACGTTGCCTGCATGGCTTCTCGCACTCCTCTCTCCCCCGTCACACCGTGCTTGCTTTCTGCACGGGATGAACAGAGTCTGACGCTATCTATTTATACTAAATTGTAAAGTCCACAAGAGAGGTCAAGAACTTGCTTGTTTTATTTACTGCTGTGTCTCCAGCAACAAGAATAGTGTTTGGTATATAGTAGATGCTCAGGAAATAATGAATGAATGAATGAATGAATGATACACCATATATTAGGTAGACAGAAGTGAGAGGAAAACAGTGGCTCTAGAAGCTACAAGTTAAAACATAATATTTTTCTCTTAATGTGTTATTGCCATAGCTTCGATTTTTGAAATTTGACTTTTAGCACAGTGCCCCAAGACCGTTGATGTGTCTCAGTGGGAGATCCAAGTGGTGTGTCAAGCAGCCAGTTTGTCCCATTCCCATTGCTTATCTTGTATTTTCATCCCTGAATTGGCTGGTTTGAACTGTCAGGACTTCTGCGTTTCTAATATTGCATCACCAATATTGGACGGAGCTGGATTTACTACATCTGGGCTTGGGCAGTGTGCAAAATAATTTTCATTTTAGTTAGTTTAGGCGTCCCTGGAGCAGAACTCCAGTATAGACCTGGAAGCCACTACACTAGGTGCAGTGCCACTGTGGACTGTGTCCAGGTTGAGACTAGTATAGGCAAGGGTCATTGCAGGGCCATGCAAGACCAGAGCTATGTAAGCCCAGGGCCCTGGAAACCTTGGCAACTGAACTCTTGCTCCTCCCTGAGCTCCAATGTTGCTAAAGTGGTAGAATTGTGGAAATAGGGTTCAAGGCCTATTGGCACTCCTTTCCCCTCTGTCATGGGCTCTGGTGTCTACCAATGTGTTAGGGAATATGGTAACCCTTGTCTAATGTCAGCTCTCCCCCGCAGAGTTCTGGCCTGTGGTCGTGCAGTCCAGGGGGCTGGATGGCATGCTGGACCCAAGCTCACCTCAGTGTCTGGGCCCAATAAAGGCTTTGCCAAGGACGCAGCTTTCTATCCTGGCCACTCAGAGGTAAGTGCCCATGGAAGAGATGCTTTCCTGCGGCTTCTAGCTCTGCAGTTCCCAGGGAAACATGGCTGGAAAGACTCTGCAGGTTGTGGAAGGAGAGACAGACCTGATGGGTCAGTAAGAGCCAAGGCTCTTAGTGACGCTGCTGCAAATGGGGCTTGTTTAAAGAAATCTTTTTGCTCTGTAGCTTCTAAGAGAAGAGTTCCGTTATCTGGACACTGGTGGCCTGGCTCTAAGTTCTACTTTACCGGGAGTCCAGGACCAAATGATGTATCCCCATGTCTTCTGTTCCCTCAGCCATAATGGGATGAACACAACCCAACATCCAGATGGTTGTGATGACTGGTGAGACATAAGATGACCCTGGAACTCAGACCAGCACATTCTCTTTCCATACCCATGGCTCACATGCCTGTCCTGAAGAATGCCAGCTAACCAAAGGTCTAGGACCTTCTGGAACTCTCTGGCCACATGTAACCATCATGGCCATCTTATGTACTTTTTGATAAAGACAGACTTGGATCAGGATCATAGATGTCTGTGTGACACTCAGAAACCTGAGACACCAGGCACAAAAGCAATCCGACATCAGTGTCTTCTCTGGTGTCCAGATTTGTGGTACCTTGGAGTCAGAACTCAGAATCTGAGAATTTCATTTGGATGTTGGAGAGAATATGTACATCTCAGGATCACTATCAATCACTGAGTTTAGGCTCCCTCAAGTCTCCATCCTCAAAAAGATGCAGAGGCTGAGCAACAGGGCACATACTAGCCACATTACCCCAGATCATTCAGCCTCCCCAAGGTTAGCCTAGGAACTCAGAATGCATCCTCTAGATCAGCAACATCAGTGTCGTCTGTCACTTGTCTGATGTCTCTCCCACCCTTGAGCCTAGAGAATCAACAATTCTACGAGTAGATGAAGCCGCCTAGATTAACGGACCTCCAGGTACTGATGCCTCCAGGCTGGTGCCTGGAAGTTTGAGAGCCTGGACTCAGTCTCTGATGTCACTTCCATGCTGTGCCTCCTCCTCAGAAGTGCTATGTGGGACATGCCAGCAGAGGTGCTGGACTCTGTCCTGTCCCCGCTCATCTGTGTTCATCCCAGGACACCTTGGGGAACCCTCCTTAGGGAGTTAAGGGGCCACAGGATTCCTTTTATGCTCCATGCAGGCTCCAACAGCCGAGAGTTCCTAAGTCTTAAAATGGAAGGCAGCAGCCAACTTACATTTAGAGTGGAGGCCAAGGATAAAACAAGGAGCGATCCCTTGACCCCCTGTCAGATTGTAGCCAGTGAGATGAAAGAGTCTGGATTTCCTTGGTCACAAGAATTTCCTCTCTGGCCTTCAACTGGTGACCCAGGTTCACACATCTGGTCTCTAGCCCAGGAGCTGTGAGTAGCTCTCGACACCTCTCTCTAAGACAGAGATTTACCTTCCTCTCCCCATTACACATCTCTGGCAGGCCTGGCTGGCAGGTCTCCCAGCAACTGGAGGCAAGGACTGGTTAGGATCAACTTTCTAACTCTGTCTGGTAGCTTCATCACCTAGTCAGGTAGGGCCAGGCCTGTGTAAAGATTACTCATCTGGTATAGAAACATCTCCTACTACAGGTGTGGATGCTGGTAGTCACCGAACATCCTGCTAGCCAGGGAGAGGGTCCTGTTGGAGGCTGCGTCAAAACCACCCCAAGGACAGTCTCCTCTTTCCCAGCCACTTGCCCTTCAATGTTGATGGGAGCATAGCAAAATGAAGAACATTTGCAGCAGAAATGGACTGTGTTCTCTCATGTAAACCCTAGCTGCTCTCCCCAGCTAAATGTCCCACTCAGACATGTACCATGAAGCTACATGGAAGTTTATCACTGCTCAAGACACAGGTTTTGAAGGCTGAATATAAATAAACCAACTCCTCCTTAGCTCACTGTGTTTCCTACACCATGCATTGTGTCGCTAGAATGGGAAACAGCATGGATTATTTCTCTCTTGTTCTGTATTCTCTGATGACTCTAAGACTTGTCTAATAATTTTTAAAGATTATAGGAACACACCATTATGAGTAGATCAATAAGGTTTTCCCCAAATTACATCTTAATCAAAAACTGAAAAGATCTGTTTGAGACATTTTTAACTCTTAATGAACTGCCTACCCATGATGCAAATCTCTGTTGCCATTGAAGGACGGTGGGTACCATGTGGTGACCCAATGGCAAATGCACAGATATCATTAGACTTTCAAAACATGACGGAGTTGTTGTGTAGAATGAGCACGTGCTATGCACAGTAGAAAACTTGATAGTTCCTTAAATTATAAAAGTCAGAGTGAATAGACACCTTAAATGTCAACACTCAGGTGGAGAAGTCAAGGAACTCAGAAGGAAAGAGGCACCTCCACACACAATGGTTTCTGGAGGTGGGGGTGCCACAGACAACAGCAATAAGCAGGTAGTTTTCTGTCTATGAGAGCTCTTCCTCTGTCAGAGAGGCTAATAATAACACACCTGCCATAAGATGGGTATACCAGAGAGGGTTTTGCTGCCAAGAGTCAGGTGCTGTTGGAGCGATGCCCTTGAAATTGAATATTGGGAGACAACAGGATGGATTCTAACAGGAGATAGAGAGAGCATAAAGCAACCAGGAGTTCAGGAGGAGCAGACCTGGAGGGAAGAGCCCAAAGCAAGAGCAAGGGTGGCTAAGCACGGGGCAGGAGCTAGGCCAGGAGCTCTTGTGCCTGGAATAAAGAAATATGAGGTCATTGATGAAGGAGGGGCTGTCACCAGGCTCAGCAATCATTCATAAACTCACCACTGGCTCCTTGATCAAAGTCACAAGGTCAGAGCAATGCCTTAAGAAGCTTAATGTGGAAGCCAGGGAGGGATGACACTGGAATAAGAGAGATGAAGGTACAATGGTCCTCGTAATAAGAAAGCTAAAAGTGAAGATGCAATTTAGAAGACCAAGAACACCAGGGCAAGAGAGATGGTGACTGTGGGACTAATTTGGAAGGCACCGAGTGGTCCAAGCTATCACTGATACAGAAGACAAAGATGGGATGACGGTGGGATTGATCAGGAAGAGTCCACTCAGTGATGTCTTGCACTGAGACTGTCAATATCCATGGAGACGTGCTTCTGGGAAGTTGGGGGTCCAGAGAGTGCTCCAGGAAGCAACTGGGCTAGGAATGTAGCTACGGGCATCAACAGTCCCTCAGGAGAGGATGAGCACCCCCAGAAGACCCTGCGGAAGGAGACCATGGGGACCACAGAGCAAGGCAGGCTTTATTTCTATTGAAACCCTAAACCCCGGTCAACTTTTCTTCAGTTTCCGATCCAGTTCTAACAGGTGTTACCAATTTGGCCATAAAAGTATGGATTTCAGTTCCGTGTCTTCTGCCTTAATTCACCTGATGAAAGATAATGTGTACCGAGAAGAAAGAACCAAAACAAGAAAAGGAGCTGGATTCGCTGCCAAAAGAATGCTCGCTCCTCTGAGGGCTGGCAAGACAATTATCAGCCAGACCTTTAGCCATCGGATCTGGGAGAGGAATCAAAACCTCAGGTGTAGCGCCTCATCCTCTGCACGGACGGCGAGAGAAGTGAAGTGACAAAAATGTCCTTCAAAGGAACCCAAGAGAAAAGAATGTGACTGTTTCCTTCTTGGATCCCATCATGAAGCACAGTATTGTATGGAATTTCACTGGCTGAATGCTGATTGGAAGGCAGCGTGTAGCTTGGGCATGGTTGAAAGGACCCGCGTCTATACGGAAAGTGAACCAAGAGTGGGCTTCTCCGACACCTCCATAGTTTCCTTATTGTCCTAGTATTTGCTGAGAAACTGCAGCACTTCAGACATTGCACATGGCAGTGCAATGATCAAAATGGAAGTCACATGACTTCTAAAACCCAACCAGGGAGACAGACAGACATGGAAATGAGTACCGTGTGCCCAGGTAAAGGTAACACAGTCCGCTGTGAAAGACAAGAAAGATGCTCACAAAGTGATGGAGGAGCCCGCCACCCAGGTGGGTGAGCCCTCTAAGACCACACAGCCAGGAAGTGAACAAGCCCAAAAGCATGCTTTAAAGACGTCTGAGAGAGGAAGAACAATAAACTATGAAAACCCCCTCATGGAAGGGGCTCAGAGAGTGACCAGCCAGAGGCAGAACTAAAGAAGATGAAGTCCTTGTCTTAAGAGAGACCCAATCATTCAGAATCAACACACACTTAATCCAAACAGTCACCCTGGAAAATACTGTTCCCTGTCCATAAAGAAAGAAAAGGTGCAGTAGATTAAAAGGCATTTTCTTCTGCTGACAAGTATTTGGGCTGGATATCCAACGTTTTCTCAGATCTAGTGCTAAGGCTCTTTTTTCATTATGTAGATTTATCAGGAAGAACACACACGCACGCACACACACACACACACACATGCATGCAGACACAAGCATATACTCACACACCCACAGAGACAGACAGACAGACAGAAAAACAGACAGAGGGAACATTTATGCTAGAGTTATCAGAGAAAGCTTCCAGGAGTAGAAAAGAATCAAACGGGGCTGAAAACACAGGGGAGGAGGCAAAATGATCCATCAGAGCAGGAAGATGAGAGAAAGGACAGAATCCGGGGCTTGGAAAATGCTCTAGAGGAGATCCTCTGAGCTGACCACCAGCTGGAGATGCTTCACATAGGAGGTGACCTTTGATCCACCTCTACAGATGTGAATTGGTGCTCACTCTGAGGAAGGGCAATAGTCCCCAGAGCAAAGTTGACTCTAGTGTTACTCAGGGTGATCCGGGTTAGAGCCTGGCATTTGGTCTCTACTCACCTACAAGCAAGCAATAAAAAGAATGGACTTGTTCAAAAAAACGGAAGACCTGAAGGAGGGAGGGTGGAAGAAACGCAGATTGGTAAGGGATCTTTTGGATTCTCCTTCTGGTCTAGCTTCTGGCGTAACTTTGTAAACATGTTAGTCGATTCCTTGTGGAAGGCTTCCTGATATGTGAAAGAAAGATGGCAGGCCCTAACCAGAATCCTCCCCCCCCCCCAAGTCTTCAAGGCGGTGGGTCATGTAAGCACTAGTCTCTAGGCTCAGAGCTGCTGTGCTTCCAGAACTTTCCCACCACCCTCCCAGCCTGCAGTCAGAGAGCCAAAGTTCCTAGGCAGGATTTAAAGGGCCGGGTTGCTTCCCCGAATAGAACCACCACACAGGCTGCTCTGGTTAATGCCAGGGTGATTGCTGCCAGCACTCCTTCTCACTCTCCCAAGTACCATACTTTGCGTTGTGAGTTCAGCATCTCCTCATCCGTAGCCCACCATCAGAACCTCCTGGCGTCCTCCTGAGAGGCCCCTGAGAGGAGCACAACACTGCCTTGACGATGCTCAGTGCCACTCCCCTGAGTAACCTGTCTGTCTTTGTCCTTCCAGGTGCATAGCGTAATGTCCATGTTGTTCTACACTCTGATCACAGCGTTTTTGATCGGCGTACAGGCAGAACCCTACACAGATAGCGATGTCCCAGAAGGAGACTCCGTCCCCCAAGCCCACTGGACTAAACTTCAGCATTCCCTTGACACAGCCCTCCGCAGAGCCCGCAGCGCCCCTGCTACCCCAATAGCTGCCCGCGTGACAGGACAGACCCGCAACATCACTGTGGACCCCAGACTGTTTAAGAAACGGAGACTCCGTTCACCCCGCGTGCTGTTTAGCACTCAGCCCCCACCCACCTCTTCGGACTCTCTGGAGCTGGACTTCCAGGCCCATGGTACAATCTCCTTCAACAGGACTCACAGGAGCAAGCGCTCGTCCACCCACCCCGTCTTCCACATGGGGGAGTTCTCAGTGTGTGACAGTGTCAGTGTGTGGGTTGGGGATAAGACCACAGCCACGGACATCAAAGGCAAGGAGGTGACAGTGCTGGGCGAGGTGAACATCAACAACAGTGTGTTCAAACAGTACTTTTTCGAGACCAAGTGCCGAGCCCCCAATCCCGTGGAGAGTGGATGCCGGGGCATTGACTCCAAGCACTGGAACTCTTACTGCACGACAACCCACACTTTTGTCAAGGCATTGACAACAGACGACAAGCAGGCTGCCTGGAGGTTCATCCGGATAGACACAGCCTGTGTGTGTGTGCTCAGCAGGAAGGCTGCAAGAAGAGGCTGACCTGCCTGCAGGACCCTTCCCCACCCGCCCCCTCCACACCCTCCTCGGCCCCTCCCTACCTCAGCCTGTAAATTATTTTAAATTATAAGGACTGCATGGTAATTTATCGTTTATACAATTTTAAAAAGCCATTATTTATTAAATTTTCAAAGCATCCTGTGTACCCGCACTAGAGTCCTTTTTCTCGTAAGAACACCTACCAGTTGGGGAAGAGAGCAGGATCAACTGTCCCCCCAGCCTCTCCTGGCTCCAAAGCCCATTTGTAACCCTCATTCCCAGCCAGCACAGCCCTGGGGCAGGCTAACTGGTTTCAGACGCTACCCTACTACCCTGTGCATAGCATGATTAGCAAGGGAAGTCAGCTTGCAGGCTCCGGTCTACATTCCAGAGCCAAATCTATCAAATCCTTGGATTATCTGCTGCACAGCATGGATCCATGAGCCTTGATTGCCTCACTGGAGGAGGGAGGGTAGCTGAGACTAGTAAGAAAGCAGGTTGCTGTGTGCAGAGGCGGCCTCCCTCCTCTGAGAGACCCGGGCTGGTCTTTGGAGGATACTGGGAACGCTCTGTGTGGAAAAGTGGAGGCGGCGCGGAAGGCCTTCTGGCTGCTTACTGTCAGGGGGCCAGTCTAAAGGAGCTGTAATGAAACCATCTCCTGAGGCCTGTCATGGCGGATCTGATTTCATGTTAAGATTACCTTGGCATGATGGCTGCTTCTCCGCAATTCCCCTGTGGCTTTCTCCAGAAAGGCATCCCTACCCCAGGAAAACAGTAGGACTTCCAAACTTCTCACCACCCACAAACAGCTCTAGCAGCAACTGTTGGTGGCCCTAGCACCCCAGCATCTGCTTCCAAGTAGAAAGCCAGTGACCAGTGAGAAACAAACTTTTGAAAACCTTTTATTCTTACTGAGATGTTTTCCATGGGTGACCAGAGCTAGTTGGGACCACAGACTTGTAGAGATGAGAGTTGGGGTAGAACAGATAAAGACAAACATAGAAGACTAACACAGAGAAGCCCAGAAAGATGGAGGGGAGAAAGGCCAAATCAAGTGGGTGCAGCTGCTTTCTGCTCCTCCCAACAGGAAAGGAAACAGAAAGACAGAAAAAGATGCAATGGATTTGGAGTGTGTGTGTGTGTGTGTGTGTGTGTGTGTGTGTATGTGTGTGTGTATGTGTGTGTGTATGTGTGTGTGTATGTGTGTGTATGTGTGTGTATGTGTGTGTGTATGTGTGTGTATGTATGTGTGTGTGTGTATATGTGTGTGTGTGTATGTATGTGTGTGTGTGTATATGTGTGTGTGTTGTCTATTCTTTATCAAAGCCCTTGCCTTCAAGACAGTCAAGTGTAGCACGAATTCTAATTGGTCTTAATAATAAAAACCCGGAGTCAGATATTAAGGGGGTGAAAGTTGAAAGATCAGAGAAGCAAAGCAGCCAGCCACTAGTTCTTACCTCTCTGAAATCCTCAGACCGAATGGGGTATCCATGTCTCTGTAAGTCCTCAAACTGAAAGCCTTGAGCTCTTGCCTCCTCCCTCCTTATGTTCCTCTCTCCACCCAGCCTTATCCCTTCCTGTCTCCACCTCCCTAGTGCTGGGATTAAAGGTGCGAGCCACCACCACCTGGCTCTGTTTCTCTTGAGACCTTGAACTCACAGAGATCCGTCTGCCTCTGCCTCCCGAGTGCTGGAATTAAAGGTGTGTGCCACCACAGCCTGTTCTCTATGGCTAACTAGTGGCTAGCTCCATACTCTGATCATCAGGCAAGCTTTTATTTGTTATAGTACAAACAAAATACTGCCACAGCCAAGTGCCCTGGGTAGTTTTGGGGAAGGTAACTTTCTTTTTAATGTGCACTTAACCACTGTCTCAAGAGCAGTCAGGGTAACAGAGAGACTGCAGAATCCTCCATGGAGCAGGACATGACCCAGCTCTAAGTAGTCCCCATCCCTTTCATCTTGTTTTTCTTCTTGGTTTTTTTTTTGATTGTTTGTTGTTGTTGTTTCTCTCAGGCCACAATTTTGTCCCTAGAATAGGAAACATCACACCAATACTTTTTTTTTTTTTGCCATACCTCTTCTCCAAAGATGACAATGCCCACTCTGGTTTTTAAGAGAGAAAACAAACCAGCCCCAAATTGTTCACTGGCTAAAACAGGAGCTGGTTGCATTCATTTCCTCTGCAGCTATCACCACTGCCCCACCCCACCCTCATTCAGCTAGGGCAAACTGGAAACTCGGAGTTTTGGAGTTTTGATTCAGGTGAAAGCATGGTAAAATATGCTGGCTTTTCCTATCACAGCTACTGCAATTGGAATTAAGATTTATGTTCAAGAAACACTAACCAGAACATTCCGTGCTGAGATGCTCTGTCAGATAAAGGGAGTCCTCCCACTGGCCTGTTGTCTGTGGGTTTTGCCGGGTTCCAGTTCCATGGCCTCAGAAGTCCCAGGCCCCTCTCAGGAACAGATAGATTATAAAGGCCTTTCTCTTAGGGTCGGGTAGACCTGCTAAGTGGGTGAGGAGATGCAATGTGAGGAGAGAGAGAGAGGGACATTCTGGAAGCTTCTAGGCAGAGCAGTTGAGCCTCTGGGTGGCTACACCAGCAAAGCCATCTCTGGAGAGCCATGCCCAGTGCTGCCAGACTCTTCAGAATATCTGAAAAATTCCATTGGCGCCCCTGGCCTGCTTACAGGATAACTTGGCATCCAGATCTCTAATGAAAACCGGTGGAGGGCACCCCATTTCCACGAAAGAAGTCCTACAGTCACTGGAAAGAATAGACCTCCTGCCCCCACGGTGCTACTATGCCCCCAAAGGCAAACTGTGCTTTAGGTAAACACTGGAGTTACAATGTGGAAGCCAGTGTTTTCACACAGCACAAGGGACTATCAATTTGGCTGAACAGCATGTAAGCAGTCCAAACCCACCAGGCCCAGGCCTTTCCACAGCTTGAACTCTTCCCCTCTATGTGTGTGTTGAGGGGGAGGCTCAGTTAGCGGTCTATCTTGGCTTTACCCGAGAGGTCACTGCATGGCCAGGGTCCCAACCACTTGAGCATGACGAAAAGGCAGCTCCAACTCCTCCGTTGTGTTTATAGAGAAACAGCGGCCACCCCATGCTTTTCCCCCTGCATCTTCCTATGGCTTTTCTACCTTGGTTTCTCTCTTCTCTTTGGCAGCTTCTTCCACCTGAAGGCATCCTCTGACCAGCCACAGAAAACTGGCACAAGCCCACTGTCCTCTCTGCTGGCCCAGCCTCTCTCCAGGATCATTTTCCCCCGCCTCTCCAGGTTCCAGGGGCAGACAGACAGCACTGGGGGGTCTGATTCTGGTTAGAGTCCCCATTTGTCCTTTGGACTTCCCCAACTCTAGTCAGACCCCGAGCCTCTCCCCAAGGTAGCTGCACTCCTAATGGAAGGCTGAGATAACCCAGGTTTCACCACCACCAAATGGCTAGGCTTGTTCCTGTGGGCCACAGGAGTGTGCACTGTGGGGTAGGCCTGCCTCAGACCTGGAGTAGAGGAGAGAGGGCAGCTTCTCCTATATCTGGAATGCCTGGCCTGTATTCTGGGGAGAAAGAAATAGACAAGAAAAGCAGAACCAAGGGGAAGCACAGGTTATCTGGAATGCAGAGGTCTACCCCAGCATGACTTGATAGTCTTCCTACCAAAGGTAGGAACAGAACAGCGGGAGGCACTGGACCACACAGAGTCAAAGTAAGTCCTCAGCTGCCCATGGTGGAGAGGAAGCAGCCTCCTGAAAGTTCTGGGGTGAAGGCAGCAGAGCGGAGTCTGGAGGCTGGCTCGCTCAGTCCTGTCTGTAAATGCTGGCAAGGCACAGATCCTCGTGAGTCGGGCAGCTGAGAAATGAAAACAATCGCAGGGCTGGGAGCATGAAGCAAAGCCATGAAACCAGTTAAGTCCTAGGCAGGGGTCAGAAACCATAGCTGTGAGCAACACTGTGCTGACTTAGGAGAGGAACAGCCATGCTAGGGTTCAGTGGATGTTTGTTTACTGAAGGGTGTACAGATGGGATAAGGTAGCCCTCTTCTCAGTTGGCATCATGGAATACAGATGTGCACAGCTGGGCTCAGAAGGGGAGGAGCAGAATGGCCGTTCCCTCAGCAGAGCAGGTTCTGCCTGAATCGGGGTTCGTGGAGATCTTGTAGGTTCTAGAAGTTCCAGAGTAGTGGTGAGGAACCAGGCTTTGATGTCACATGGGAAATTTGTACTGGGCTACCTTAAGCAAGGTTCTTTATTTAAATGTACTCTCTGTGTGTATATGGTGTGGTGTATTTTAGCATACGTGCTATGGAACATGTATGGCGGGCAGAAGAAACTTCATGGGACTCAAACTCAGGTTGCCAGGCTTGCACAGCTGAGCCATCTTGCCAGCCTCTAAACACAGTTCTTAACAACTGTCTATGAGACAACCATCTCAGAAAGTCTAGAAATAACTAAGATTACGTATGTATGTTTGTATGTATGTATGTTTGCATGCACCTAGCATTTAAGAAATGTGTAACAAATTCTAGTTTTGAAAACTAGAGTCATCTGAACACTAGAAGGCCCTTAGAATGTGGTGGAATGGTTTTCCATGAGGCAGGTGAGTTCACCAGCCGCCAGTGTTGTTATATGATCATTTCCTTCCGACTAGTGATAGCGAGTGGTACCAATCATGCCTCCTGGCACCTCCTGAGAGCTTGCTCGCTGTGCACCAGGCACAGGACTCCTTGTCTGGATTAGTTATGAGCTAGCCTCCAGGCTCTGAAGCTAATATCACCTCCTGATGAAGCCAGGAAGGCTTGCATGCAGCTCTGTCTTCTCTGGGATGTTTACTCCTCAAGGTTGGCACGTTTATCAGCCGCTGGCTCTGAGAGTCTCCACGTGTCAAGCATGTGGAGCGTGTTTTGCTGTATCTCACTTGGATTGGTGAACAAAAAGCTCTGACCTCCCCAGAGTCCTTCTGGGCTTGCGGAGGAGGCTCAGGGGGCCCAGAGGCCAAAATTAGGCAGACTTAACCACAGCAGTGACCTGAGGAGCTTCCTCTAACCCAGACCTGCTACCTGGTGTTAGTCGTGTGATCCAGCTGCGCCTCTTCCACGCCAGGATCCAGTCTTGCAGGCAGCAGGCGACTGTCTGCTTTTAAGCAGTG